TTTTTTTTTTTTTGCAGTTTTTGGCCTGGGCTGAATTTGAACCCACCACCTCTGGCATATGGGGCGGGCGCCCTACTCCTTGAGCCACAGGCACCGCCATATTCTTGTACCTTTTCTATGTAAATTTTAAAATTGTGAATGACCTATTAACTCATTACATTTAATAATCCTTTTTTGGATTTTGAATGGAATTACTTTGAATTGCATATTATTTTGCTTTCTGTGGAGGAAGGTTCTATTTCAAATAAGCCCTTAAATAATATGGGATAGCCTGTAATCTTAGCACTCTGGGAGGCTGAGGCAGATGGATTGCGGAGCTCATGAGTTCAAGATCAGCCTGAGCCACAGTGAGACCTTGTCTCTGAAAACAGCCGAATGGCTCAGCACCCATAGCTCAGTGAGTAAGGTGCCAGCCACATACACTGAGGCTGATGGGTTCAAGACCGGCCCTGGCCTGCTAAACAACAATGACAACTGTAACCAAAATAATAACTGGGTATTGTGGTAGGCACCTGTCATCCCAGCTACTTGGGAGTCTGAGGCAAGAAAATCACTTGAGCCCAAGAATTTGCGGTTACTGTGAGCTATGACATCACAGAATCTTTTAGGTGGTGACATAGTGAGACTCTGTCTCAAAAACAAAAAAAAAATCAAATAACATGGGATAGCTGTTAATTGTATTTTTAGCTTTCTAGATTTAAAGATGCTTAAAACTGATTCTTTTCTTCTAAATTTTAAACTGGTTGTTAGAAATTATATTCTTCTTTTCATTCTTATTTAGGAAGATGACGTTTGGAAGAGTTAGTGACTTGGGACAGTTCATCCGGGAATCTGAACCTGAACCTGATGTAAAGAAATCAAAAGGTTTGTGGTGTTTCTATATTCCATATTTAGCCTTTACTTAGATTATTCATTGACTGTAAGTAAAAGACCACTTAAGGTTTAAACTGTTTATCTTGTGAAGTAACTACCATATTTTTCACTCTGTTTTTTTTTTGTTTTTTTTTTTTTAAATTTCAGAATATTGGTGGGGCGGTTCCCATAGCTTAGTGGGTAAGGTGCCAGCTACATATGCCCAGGCTAGCAGGTTCGAACTGGGCCCAGACCAGCTAAACAACAATGACAACTGCAATAAAAAAATAGCCGGGCATTCTGGCAGTCACCTTGTAGTCCCAACTACTTGGCAGGCTGAGGCAAGAGAATCACTTAAGCCCAAGAGTTTGAGGTTGCTGTGAGCTGTGATGCCATGCACTCTATGGAGGGCAACATAGTGAGATTCTAAAAAAAAAAATTTTTTTTTTGAATATTAGGAGGTACTTATTTTGTTTACATCCTTAGTTTTTGTACAGACTAAGTCAAGTTACACACCTAAGTGTGCCTATCACCCAGATAGTGTATCCTGTGTACTGTGTGAATTTACTCATCCCCCAGCTTGATTGTCATTGACATTTTTATTTCCAATATGTGCACTTGGCTATTGATTTCTTAGTTCCAATTTGGATATTGAGTACATGTGTTGTTTCTCCATTTTTGTTTCACTTAGAAGAATGGTTTCCCGTTCTCTCCGGCTTGGCTAAAAAGATACTAGATCATCACTTTCTTATGGCTGAGTAGTACTCATAGTAAGCGTGTACCAAATTTTATTAATCCATTCGTGTATTGGTGGGCATTTGGGTTGTTTCTGCATCTTTCTGGTTGTGCATTTTGTTGCTGAACACATCCAAGTGTGGTGTTGACCTTTTATTAAGTGAACTTTCTTCCTCTGGGTATACACCCAGCAGTGGGTATGCTGGGTGAGATGGATGGTAGGTCTACTTTAAGTTCTTTGAGGCATCTCCAGAAAATTTTCCAAGGAGGTTGTACTAGTTCACTGTCCCACCAGCAGTGTATAAGAGTTCCCCACCCTGGCATCTATTTCAAGACTTTTCATTATGAGCCGTTCTCCCTGGAGTTAGGTGATATTTTATTGTAGTTTTGATTTGTATTTCCCTAATGATTAGAGGCATAGAACATTTTTTCATGAGTTTGTTAGCCATTGATAATCTTCATTTGTAAAATTCGTGTTGGCTCAGCACCTGTAGCTCAGTGCCTAGGGTGTCAGCCACATATACCGGAGCTGGCAGGTTCGAACCCAGCCCGGGCCTACCAAATAACAATGAGAACTACAACAACAAAATAAAATAGCCAGGTGTTGTGGCAAGCACCTGTAGTCCCAGCTACTTGGGAGGCTGAGTCAAGAGAATCACTTATGTCCAAGAGTTTGAAGTTGCTGAGCTGTGATGCCACGGCACTCTACCAAGGGGGGTGACATAGTGAGACTGTCTCAAAAAAAAAAAAAAAGAAAAGAAAAGTTTCTGTTTCCTGGAGCAGTGGCTCATGCCTGTAATACTAGCACTTTGGAGGCCGAGGCAGGTTGATTGCCTGAGCTCACAGGTTGAGCTTGAGCTAGAGCAAGACTTCAACTCTAAAAATAGCCAGGCATTGTGGCAGGCTCCGGTAGTCCCAGCTACTTGGGAGGCTGAGCCAGGAGAATTGTTTGAGGTGTCTGTGTGCTATGACACCATGGCACTCTATCGAGGGCAACAAAGTGAACTGTGTCTCAAAAGAAAAAAAGAAGTTCCTGTTCATGTCTTTTGCCCACTTTTTTTTTTTTTTTTTTTGAGACAGGCTAAAGTGCTGTGGTGTCAGCTTAGCCCACAGCAACCTCAAACTCCTAAATTCAGGTGATCCTTCTGCCTCAGCCTCCCCACTAGCTAGAACTATAGGCACCCGCCATGACACCTGGCTAATTTTTTTATGTTTTAGTAGAGACAGGTCTCACTCTTGCTCAGGCTGGTCTCAAACTCCTGAACTCAGGCAGTCCACTGCGTTGGCCTCTCAGAGTGCTGGGATTACAGGTGTGAGCTACCACGCCAGCCTTTTGCCTACTTTTTTTTTTTTTTTTTTAAGCAACAGGATAGAATTTATTGACAGGGAGAAAGATTGGTAAGCATGATAAGCAAAAGAGGGGGGAACAAAGCCTTTGGCAGTAGAGGGGAGTGATCCAAATGGGAATCCACCTTTTGCCTACTTATTAATGGACTTGTTTAGTTTTTTCTTACTGATTTGTTTGAGTTCTTTGTAGATTTGCTTGAATTCTTTATAGATTCTGGTTATCAGTCTTTTATCAGATATACGTGTATAACATGTAAATATTTTCTCCCATTCTGTGGGTTGTGTGTTTCTTTTGATTGTGTCCTTGACTATGTAGAAGCATATTAATTCACCCTGTATTTCTAGTCCTAAGTGAGTACAGTACAGGCTTCCAGTAATAACATCACTATAAATACAATCTCTTCCTCTGAATCAGAAGTTATTATTTTTACTTGACCATTACAGAAGGCACATCAGTTTAAAAAAAAATTTGCTACCTTTTTATTTAATGACAAAATTCCTACTCCAGATTGAGTTTGAAGTTTATCTTGAGGCCTTTTATATTATTAAAATGTTCTCAAAATCACTGAAAGTGAAATATATGTGAATATATTAACAGTTTGAATTTACATGCTTACTTTGTTTAATCAGAAGAGGGGCTTGGTCAAATCCAAGAGTGAGACACAAAACTTTCTTTTGCTTTGTTTTATCTTGTTTAGTTAATCTTTAAATCTCCTAGACAGTTTGTTAAAACATAAGAAATCTTTTTTGACAAGAGTATTTTTGGTGGCCAATTTTACCTTCCAAACAATTGATTTACACAGGAAAATTTGGGAAATGAGTATGAATCTAAACAGATGACACCTAGACCTTTTTAGTGTGGCTGAATTGACACTAATTTCTTAAGTAAAAGATACTACTGACTTGTAGGAAGAAAGCGATCTATTTTGATTAAGTATGTTTAAAATTAAGAGCTATTGTTAATCTTTCTTTGGAATTTAATGGGATTACATTTTTATATTTGTAGAAGAAATATACTTGCTTTTTTTTTTTTTAATTGTTTCAGGTTAATTGTGAGGGTACAAAGAATTAGGTTACACTGTTTGCCTTTGTTAGGTAAAGCTCCTCTCATAATTGTAACCTGCCATACACTGTGATGTTGTGCCCTTTAAGTGGGAGCACCCCCATCCTCGTCCCAACTCCCCTGCCCCTTGTTTTCTTGTGCCCCACTTTGAATTATTTTTTCTCTTATGTGGGTATTTATTAGATCGTCTACTGGCTTCATATTAGAATTGAGTACATATTAGAATTGAGTACATTTGATTCTTGCTTCTCCATTTTTGTGATACTTCATGAAGAAGAATGTGTTCCAACTCTATCCAGGTTAATATAAAAGATAAAAGTTTCCATATTTTTAGTGGCTGAATATCTGTCTTTTCAATGCAACTATTATTTGGATAATAAATTGTACCACTTAATTTTGATGAAAAATAAACTTTTTGGTCAAATACATAATATGTTGATAGAGTAAGCAAAAATGTAACAATTGTAGTAATTTAGACTCCAAAAGGGTCTGTTGCCTAGTTGACCTTACTTATCCCAATAATAGATTTTATTTCCTGTTTTGCCAAGGAAGTCTCAGGTACACAGTTGGGACTAAAGGGAAGTCTACACGGTTCATTCATTGAGTGTCTCTCTGCATACCTGTATTCAGTAGACAGGTTAAAAGATACAGATCTTCCAATCAAGAAACTTATAGTCCAGTAGTTGTGTAACTTGTGTTGGGTAAAAGATGAATATTAGGAAGGGCCATTGGTGATGGTGGAGCAGAGGAAGTGCCATATACCTCTGGGAGTAGGATATGCTACTCCTCCATGTAGATAGGTATGGATATAGTTATAGATGTTGGGTTCTGTGAATTTGTATTATGAGTAAAGATATGCAAGAAACTTCTCAAACCACTGTCTGTGTTCAGTCTGTTCATCTCACCTCTTCATGTTATTCCTTCCTTAATTCATTCTAAACAATAATGGAATGCCTACTGTATGCATCTCCTACTCTGGATGCTGGGAAGAAAACAAAGTTCCTATTCTCATGGAACTAAATATTATAATGGAGCAGACAGTAAACAGATAAGCAAATAACAGCATGTGTGCGAGTGTTTATCTGTGGAGGGTAGGGGAAGGTTCCGAACGTTTTAGAGGTGTTTGTCAAGAAAGACCTCACTGAGGAGGCAGCATTTTGAGTGGAGACTTGAGCACAGTGTGGGAATGAGCCTGGGCAGTATCTGGAGAAAGAATGTTCTTGAGAAGGAACAAAGGTAGAGCCTGAAGCTAGAGTGCTCAGTGTGGCTGGAGTGGAGAGAGCATGAGGATGAGTGGTGAGGAACAGAAGGTGAGTAAGTTGGAAGATTGCCAGAGACCATGGCAAGGATTCCAAGAGATCACATTGGAAGCTGGAGCAGGAGAATGGTACGATACGACTTACGTTTAGGAGGGGAGGGGGTAAGTCAGATCAAGGGAGGGTGACTGGTGGGATCACACCTTTGGTGCATAATGCAGGGGTACATGTCAGATCTATTAGTATAAAGTATACATGTCTTTTTTTTTTTATTGAATGGTAACTGTGTACATTAATGCACTTTAAGTATACATGTCTTAACACAATAACTAAGTAAATGAGATGAGGTATATATTAACCAGTATGATGTAATCATTCCTAATTCTATATGAAATCAGCACATTGTACCCCATAAATGCATTAATGTATACATGATCTATGTGTTTATGATTTAAAAAATAAAAATTAAAAAAAAATAAAGGGATTACTCTGGTAGCTGTTTAGAAAATAGAATGTAGAGGGTCAAGAGGAGAAGCAGAAACAGAACATTCTTGCTGTACTCGATAAGTAAGGGATGATAGTGGTTGTGGATTAGGCTGCCAGTAGAGGAGCAGTAGTATTTGGATTATCTTTGAAAGTAGAGGTGACAGGATTATATCTGTGCTGGAAGCCCATCCCTCATGGGCTTGCATTATTAATATAATTGAGACTTGCCTATAGAAAGAAATGAGTAGGAATTTCTGCAGTTGGATTGAACACATTCATATATCTTGGTATTTTTGGTAGTAGTCCAGACTTCTCTCTAAGAATAATATTTTTAGTGTGGGAGCCTAGGGATGAGGCTTCACTCAAAGCATTTGAGTGCTGTGTGCTAGGCACTGTGCTTAACGCCGGGGATACAGAAAGAGGCTGTCATTTCAGTGTGTTTTACTCATACGTGGTTCCTTGTTAATGACCCTGACTTGTTAACCATGTCAGGTAGTTATCCTACAGAATGCTCAGCCTTCTTGACTGTCTAGGCTGTGTCACTGTGGATTTAATCCAGCTTACTCCTCTCTCAGCTGCATTTCTTGTAAACCAGAAGTTATGCCTAATGTCTTGATGATTCACGTTAATACATCTTTGGTAAAACACATTATAAATGATGTTCCATATGGTGTTTTTGAAAGACTCTCTATGTATTGGTATATACGTTAAAATACTGCCTGAAATGATTCCTCCAAATTCAATAACAGTTACTTTACCTTTTCCCTTTACTTTTTGAATTTTCTTACCCTTTCTCTGTCCACTCTTATCTCCTTAATCATCCATCCAATCCCTTCTCCATGGCTTCCCACTGCACTGGACTAAAGTCGAGCCTCTTTGCCATGACCTTCCCTTGAACTCTTCACAGACTGAGCTCTAGTGGGACTATTCTTTATTTTTTTTCCTGAGGTTTCCTCTCTCGTAGGGCCTCTGCAATTGCAATGGCTTTCTTGCAGTGACCAGCTCCTCTCTTTCATCTCAGTGTCATCTGTTCAGAGGACCTGCCCAGCCTACATGATCTGCAGTCGTCTGTGCTGCTACCATTTCATTATTTTCTTACTGTCTGGAATTATCTTGTTTATTTATTTGCATGCTAATATGGTTATTTCTTTTTCACGACTAGAATATTACCTCTGTTACCTCTACTGATGGAAAACAATCAAGCTAGTTCCATCCCAGTTGTTAAATTAATTGAGACCTCGCCTTAAGAAATAATCTCCTGACAGTAGTTAATTTGGTTTAAGGCAAAGTTAGGAAGTGAGCCTATTCAAATTATTAAATAAAACGGTAAGCTATGTTTTTCCTTCATAGAAATAAAGGCCTACTTCCTTGGTAATTTCTTAGCATGTGGTTACAGGTGTAGGCTTTTATGTCCTGAGAAGTTGAGATGTACTATGGCTTGGATAGAGTATGACTACTTTTTTTAGGTTGCCTGGGCTGAACTCAAAAACTCCTGGGCTTAAACAGTCCTCCTACTTCATTCTCCTGAGTAGCTGGGACTATAGGCTTGAGCCTGTTGTGCCTAGTTTAAGAATGTGGCTATTTAGAAAAGCTGTACTCTTACCCATTGTCTTATACAGAATAGAGATCCAGCGTGGGGCAGCATAATCTGTACTGAAAGCCCTTCTAAATGGGGGCTAGTCTGGAAGCTTTGAAAACATGACAGATGGGTTGATGTCTTCCATTGGATGGCTGGATTCTTACCAGGACCAATATGCTGGTTAGGATTTTGTTTATAATCTTAGTTGTAAATCTAACACTAGGTGATTGTTTCAAGTGAGAAGAATAGAAGAAAAATCCAAAACTAAAACAGCTTTTCAAACTATGATGTTTGCAAATTAAATACTGTGTTGTAAAAGCAGTATAATCAGTTTTTATTTATGGTAATATTCCTTAATGTTTTGGATGGGCTCACACAAGAAAAGAATATCCATGTCTGGAAGCAACAGCTTTTAAATAAGAGCATTTTAATATAAGGTTATGCATAAAATATACTTTTGGCTTTGTTTACCAGGATCTATGTTCTCACAAGCTATGAAGAAATGGGTGCAAGGAAGTACTGATGAGGTAAATCCTACTTTTAGTCTAAAGAAATTTCTGTTATAATAGCCACCCTTGTCTAAGTAAGGATCTAAGTTCTCTTTCTTTAGATCCCATGTTTAAGCAGCATGGCACAGTGGTCCCTTCTCCAAGATAGGACAACAGAGGGTGGCTCCTTCTTAACGTCTAACAGGTGTCTGGTGGTGGCAGTAAAGGTATCTTCAGTCCAGAGACTGTGGCCAAGGAAGGATAACCATGCTTCAGATTGCATCGTTAGCCAGCAGGCATCAGTAATCAGTGCAGAACAGAAGCTCAAAGCTTTCCTTCCCCACTGTCAGTTTTACTATTAGAAGTAGATGCTTGCGGCTCGGCGCCTATAGCTCAACCGGCTAAGGCGCCAGCCATGTACACCTAAGGTGGAGGGTTCGAATCCCCAGCCCGGACCCGCCAAACAACAATGACAGCTGCAACCAAAAAATAGCCAGACATTGTGGTGGGCACCTGTGGTCCCAGCTACTTGGGAGGTGGAGGCAGGAGACTCGCTTGAGCCCAGGAGTTGGAGGTTGCTGTGAGCTGTAATGCCACAGCACTCTACCCAGGGGGACAGCTTGAGGCTCTGTCTCAAAAAAAAAAAAAAAAAAAAAAGAAGTAGATGCTTGCTTTTTTGTGATAGTTAAGGACATTGAGAGATGTGGGTTGAAAAAGGAAAATGCTTTATTTTGGCCATCAGCTTTATTTTGACCATCATGTTGGATACCTGGCAGCTGACTCTGAAAGACAGTGAGTGTGGTAGTTATATATCATAGCCAGAGTGTGGTCCAGATTCTTTCATAAATGGAAATGTACTTCTTAATCCAAATAAATAGCAATGATATGCACATATAGTTGTATTTAGAGCATTGATAATATGCATCTTGATCCTCCTAATGAATAACTATTATCAACAGTTTAAATTACTTCCTTTAGGCCCAAGAAGAGCTAGCTTGGAAGATTGCTAAAATGATAGTCAGTGATGTTATGCAGCAGGCACAGTGTGACCAACCAGTAGAGAGATCTACAAAGGTAAGGATGACTTATGTTCTAACCCAATTGTGTAAAACTGAAAAGTGCTGTTTTCTAGCCATATAGAAATAAAAGAAAGAATATAAGGGGCTTCTGTGTCTGCCTTTGGAGGATTAAATGCTGTGGGGATTGTCCTCTCATCATAAGCACCTAGGAAACTGACAAACTAAATGACTATAATCTTGAAAGAAGAGTTACCCTGAAGTGCTCTCTGGCTTGCTGCCTGGAAGGAGTTTCCAGAGTGCAGAGAAGGGGAAATCAAACAGAGCCCAGAGTTTGGAGAGGCTTGTGTGACTAGAAGTCACATGACATGGCACCAGAAAAGAGGGCGCTGCCCAGGAACAGAGTTGCGGAGATGTTTAAGGAGGTCCCTTCAAGTCTGTGGCCGAGTATTTCCCTGTATATATGTGGGATAAAAATACACATGTCTAGGGAAACAATCCCCATAAATTAGTAGGCAGAATGCCTGGAACGTGGGGCTAGGAAAGTTTGTGAGCAGAACATCTGGCCAGGGCAGGCAGACTTTGTAATACACAAGGCATTGGTTAATGTCCTTATGCCTTATTCCTGTGGCTAAACTAAACCAAGTTTAAAAACAAGTTTTGAGAGGATTAAGCTGTTCTGTACATAACAGCAGTGCACCCAGCAACAGCAGAAAACACATTCTTTTGAAATGTATGCATGTGAAATACTGAGATATATTCTCAGCCATAAAATAACTTCTAATAGATTTTAAAGGATTGAAATCCTACAGTCTGTTCTCTGACCACAAAGAAATTAGAAATTAGTAACTGAAAGTCACCTGGAACATCCTCAGGTATTTATAGACCCTTCTCAGTCTTGCATGAGTCAGAAAAGAAGGGGAAGTTAGAAAATACCTTGGACTAAACTGAAGTGAAAACACAGTATTCATGGGAGAATGCTAAGGCAGTTCTTAGAGGGAAATTTATAGCAGTAAATGTTTATGCTAAACAAGAAAGGTCTCAGTCTCCTGTTAAGAAACTAGAAAAAGATCATGGAAATAAATGTAAAAAATAATGAACAGCATAAAATTGAGAGAAAATTTTTAAAAATAAATTAGAAAAAATAAACTTTAAGCCAAAGTCAGCACAAAGAAGAAAATAATAAGGATAACAGTAAATGTTGATTTTATAGAAAACAGGCAAATAATAAGGGAAAAACCAAAAGCTACTCTCAGACCAGTTGAATTGATAAATGTCTATCCAGACTAATGGAGGTAGAAAAGGTGATTAGGCATGAATTACTAATGCCAAGATTGAAGGAGGGCATTACCACAGGTTCTAGAGCAGTGTTTTTCAAACTTTTTATTATCTTACGGCACACTTGAACCTGTAGTTAAACTTCCACTAAACTTAAATTCTGTTGATATAAAAAAAAAGCATATACTTACTATGCTTTGAACGTCTTTTGAAAATAATTTAATTAATAAACTTTAAAAATTTTCGTGGCACATTGCACACCAATTGAAAATCACTCCTGTGGAGTTATTAAATTAATAATAGAATATTATAAATAACTTCCTCTTAATAAACTTGGCAACTTGGGTAGAACGGAGAAACTCTTTGACAGACACAAGTTACCAAAGCTCACACAAGAGTAGAAAACCCAAACAGTGCTGTCTCCATTAAATTTATAGTTAAAACCTTTTCCACAAAGGGAGCTCTAGGTTAATATAGAATTGTAAGAAGAAATAATATCAATTCTAGGCAAATTCCAGAAAAATGAGGAGGGGACATTATATCCCAGCTCTTTTGGTGAGGCCAGTGCTACCTTGACATCAAAAACTAGACAATCAGGCTCGGCACCCATAGCACAGTGGTTACAGTGTCTGCCACATACACCAAAGGTGGCGAGTTTGAACCCGGCCCAGGCCAGCTAAACAACAACTGCAACAAAAAATAGCCAGGCTGTGTGGCGGGTGCCTGTAGTCCCAGCTACTTGGGAGGCTGAGGCAGGAAGATCCCTTAAGCCCAAGAGTTTGAGGTTGCTATGAGCTGTGACTCCACGGCACTCTACTGAGGGTGACATAGTGAGACTTTGTCTCAAAAAATAAATAAAATAATGCAAGCAGACGCCTGTAATCCCAGCACTTAGGAGGCCAAGGCAGGTGGATTGCCTGAGCTCACAGGTTTGAGACCAGCCTGAGCCAGAAAAAGACGTCTCTAAAAATAGCCAGGCACTGTGGCAGGTGCCTGTAGTCCCAGCTACTTGGGAGGCTGAGGCAAGAGAATCTCTTAAAGCCCAAGATTTTGAGGTTGCTATGAGCTGTGATGCTATAGCACTCTATGGAAGGTAACATATTGAGACTCGGTCTCAATAAAAAAAGAAAAAAAAACCTAGACAATCAGCCCAGCGGGGTAGCTCATACCTGTAATCTCAGCACTCTAGGAGGCCAAGGCAGGAAGATCTCTAGATCTCTTGAGCTTAGGAGTTCAAGACCAGCCTAAGCAAGAGTGAGACCTATCTCTACTAAAAACTGAAAAATTAGCTAGGCATCATGGAAGGCACCTATAGTCCCAGGTACTTAGGAAGCTGAGGCAAGAGGATTGATTAAGCCCAAGAGTTTGAGCTTGCTGTGAGCTATGACTCCATGGCACTCTGCCCAGGGGCACAGAGTGAGACTGTCTTGAAAAAAGAAAGAAAGAAAGATCCCCTTGTTATTTTATAATGTTATGTGTGAGAAGTCTTAGGCCCACAGTGGAATTCTTACTCTCTTTATCCTGTGTTGACCATTGCTCTGCTTTGAGCCTCCAACTCCGGTTGCCTATGGAATGTACTTGGATATTCAGCATAAACTGCCTTGCATCATTACTGGATTGCTTCGTGCACACATGTCCCATCTCACAGATATCAGGGCTGCCAAATCCTCTCTGGTGTGTGTTTCCTCACCGATGCTGTGAATAACAGAAGCACTCAGCCTCAAGAGCTTGGTCTTAGGACTCTAGCAGATTAAAGTTCTTTTTTCCTTTATAAAGACTGCAGTGTGTTCCATGTTATGCCTCTATCATCATATGTTTTTTTGAGACAGGTTCTCATTCGGTGCCATGATCATAGCTCACAGCAACCTCAAACTCCTGGACTCAAGGGATCCTCCTGCCTCAGCCTCCCAAGTAGCTGGGACTTCAGGTGCATGCTGCCATGTCCAGCTAGTTTTTTATTTTGTGTAGCAATGAGATCTTGCCTTATCTCCCAGGTTGGTCTTGACCTCCTGGCCTCCTCGAGTGCTGGGAGTATAGGCGTGTGCCTTCATGCCCAGCCTTTGTCATCATTTACTGAATCACCTATGGATGATGATTTATGTTGTTTCAGATTTTGCTCTATTACGAACACTATTTTAATGAATATTCTCTCTTATGAATGTGCTATAGGGCTAACCCCTAGAGGTAGAATTACTATCAAAAGGGGGGAATAGTTTGGGCACGTGGCTCACGCCTGTAATCCTAGCCCTTTGGGAGGCTGAGGCAGGAGAATCGCTGGACAACAGGAGTTTAAGACCAGCCTGGGCAAAATATCAAGACTCCATCTCTATAAAGAAATTTTAAAAATTAGCCAGCTATGTCAGCACATGCCTATAGGTCCGGTTACACTGGAAGCTGAACCAGAAGGATCCCTTGAGCCCTAGAGTTCAAGGCTGTTATGAGCTGTGATTAGAACACTACACTTCAGCCCGGGTGATAGAGTAAGACCCTGTCTCTTAAAATATATGTGTGTGTGTGTGTGTGTATTTTACATTCTAATATCTGTTGCCAAAATGTAAAGATTTTGGCAAAATGGAAAGCTAGTCTGGATGCCAGTCCTTGCTTTGGGTAAGTTACTTAACTCATATGTAAATGAGGAAAAGCTGTCACATTTCACCTCCCAGACTGTAGTCTGGCATACAGGAAACCCTGGTGTTGACTGACTTCTTCCTTAACCTGTAACGGGAGCATCACTTATTACAGAAATGTACCTTAGCATTTTCCTTTCTTTTCTTTTCTTTTTTTTTTCAGCTATGACTCAAGACATGAGATAAAGGAGATCTGCTTTTGAAACATGAGAGAACTTTTCCCCTTGGTTGGATTCTTCAACACAGCCAATGAAAATAGAGCACTGTATTTGTTTCACTAATATATCACTGTTGTTTCCAAGAAAGAATGGGAGACAATCCTAGACTTCCACCGTATGCAGAGTTATGTGTAGACGTGATTGTTGCACATGATGTTCACACAGTGACAGTTACAAAGATACAAAGTGGTATTGTTTACATTGCTAGAAAATTATTAGTTTTCTACTGGCAATAACCTATTTCTGAGAGAGTTTTAGCCCACTGTAATAGACGGGGACCACGTCCTGTGGGAGGCAGAATAGCATAGAGCTGACATTGGGTGCCATCCTTGTAGCGGTAATTCATCCCTAGCAGCAGCATGAAGCAGGTGCCAGAGGTGCTTTGCTTCTCCTCCTAAAACAAACAGGTGAATCAGCCCCACCAAGAGCCAGGCAGCTCCAAATGGCAGTGTGGTGCTAGCAGCTTGTTTTTCTTCAGTAGGACAAGGTGATGGTTCATTGTGCAATCTTCCTTCACAGAGGCATTAGTTTTGGAAGGAATTTGACAGGTCATGGGTCAGGTCCCCTTGACATTGTCCTTCCTGAGATGCAGTATATTTAAAACCAATCTCTCCCCTGCTAACAGAAGGGTGAATCTAGTTTACTTTGAGCATTAGGATGTACTCCTATGGAACTCTGTGCTCCAGTTACTTAATAATAATAATGATCACTCCAGTTTTTCCCTTGAACAAAATAGTTCTTCCAAGATTGTGCCATTTTTTTTTTTAATAAAATGGGCAGGGTGGGTCAGGGGAGAGAAGTAATCAACCTTGTTTGATCGATCCCTCCCTCCGCCGTTCATTGCAGTGACCTGGGATGTGTGCAGTTGGTGACCTTTTTTATTCTGTCTTTAGGACAGTTGAAAGACTCACTGCACTTCTGCTGCGTCAGGACCACATGGCCATCAGCAGGGCCACCAGTTGGCAAGCACACTCCACTGGCCACGTGGTGCTAACGCTTCGTTCACACACGTAGCTATTTGAGAGGAAAGGAATTTCTCTTAGGTGTTAGTGCTTTTTGCTCAGACTTTGCAAAAAAAATAAAAATAATATATATATACACATATATATACACACATATAAATGTATAATTATTAATCACCTTTGTCCTTGAGAAAGTCTTGAATGAATAGAGAATTTATTCCATTGCAATATTTGATTGTATAGAGGCACACTGTTTCATCAACAGAAGAAGCAAAAAGGCTGTGTATAAGTTTTTGGTACTATGTACCACCTCTGTTATTCTTCTAAAGCTGAAGTATTCATGTACTTAAACCATATTCTATTTAATTGTGTTTGATTTAAAAATATATCTATAAATTATATTTAAAATTGTGTCAACTTTCTGCTTTCAGGGCATTTATGGCTCTTCTATTGAAATATGTTGATCCTTACAAATGTTTCCATTTGCTTTACAAAAACTCAGAACATGAGCCACTACTGGACTTAGATTTGTGTTCGGGTACATGGCATAGAATGGAGGTTTTTGTTTTATATATGCTGTGATTGATTCATTTTGGTTTTTTTTAACAAAATATTCCCATCCATTTCATATTGCTTCCATCTTTAAATAACAGAAAAGCAATATAAAGGTTATAGAATAAAATGTGGTTTTGGGTGATTTGCTGTTTCTGCATGTTTTGGAATAACAATTTCTGTAAGACTCTAGGCTATTTAAACTAATACTTTCAGTTAGATAATTTCTAATCATTTCTTTGTATACATGTTGTGCTTCTGAGCCAGAGATGCCAGTAGTTGTAAATTTCTTACAAAGAAAAGACAAGCAAGCTGGAGACTGGCTACTTTTTTCTGCCTCACCTGCTATGAGACACAGAAGCAGGGTGTGGCCTGAGATTATTAGCCGGATTTAATATTTGATCTAAAGTAGATCCTTGTACTTACTCAGAATGTGGAATTAGATTCGTCTAACATTGAGCACCCACAGTGTTCCAAGCTCTATGCAGTGTATCCACAAAATATTCCCTGCAGGGTTTTTATAGGTTTAAGGAATAAGTTGAACACCTTTTATCTTTATCATGTTGTTGGTATCAACACAAATTGTTTAAAAAGAAAAGGTGTTAGAAAGTGATTCCTCTTATAACTTGATGTCTTTATCTTTCCTGTAAGGTTTGATGAAAGTAAAAAGCAGATGTCAACCAAATCCAGTGAAGAGCAATAAAACAGCAACTTTCTGTAACTCTTTTTACTTGGGTTTCAATATTCAGTAGAACTTTATTGAAAACTTTAAGTAGTTTACAGTATTGGAGCATTGACTAGTTATAGGAATTGAGAAGGGAAGGTCATTCAGAACTGTAGAAATCACAAAGTCCTAACAGCTGATAAGCACCTGATGAAATGGCTGATCTTTTTCCAGTGACACTGGAAACCTGCCTGACTCACAGTAACTACACTCTTCCCCCCAAACTTCTTCAGGAGTGAAGGTCGTGTCTTCACAATGACCTTTTGTCTCTCTCCCCTTCCCCGTACACTGGTTGATTGGGCAGGGTTGAAGTCCTGATCCAAATAGGCCTGAGACACTGCATGATGTTGGCCAGCATTAGAGCTCAGGCCTCTGGGCCAGGACCTTTTTGTGCTAACATTCTTCCAAAGGATAAATACAACTCCACTTTTAGCAATTATGATAAACCAGAAATAGAAGGGGAATAAATAATGTAAGTTTATAGTGGGTAGGAGGGATAATTTTTATAAATTACATAAATACTGACCATTTCTATGTGGTAGGCAAGGTCTCGGGGCTTTGGTTGGAGCCATCAAATGGAGAGTAAACCCCATTAAAACCCTTTAAGGGTACAACTTGGGTGGCCCACATTCATAGTTACCCTCTGAAAGGCCCTTTAAAAATGAGTGCCCGCCACTGAGTAAGCTCCTCTGCTTGGGTGGGATGGCACAGAGTAGCAGGGTGGTGGTCTGGATTCTGGGCAGGCAGAGGTGGCTGTGAGGGCACTGGGGGAACAGTGTGAGCAAAGGCCCCACAGCCATTCATATTCGGGGGTTCTGCCCATCTTGCATGGCTCACAGGAGAATGCTTTAGTAATTTTGTGCAAACAGGTGTTTTTAAAGTCTGTTCCTTTCAAACCACCTTCTCTGGCACATTCAGTGTGTCACAAAATTCACTTGGACACATTAAACCCCTACCTGAGGGTGGTAGTGCTTCTGTCCCCACCCTGATACCACTGGGCACCTGTAGGACTGCATCCTGTCTGTCCTTGGGCCAGGAGCCTAGAGAGGAGTTTTAAGTTCAATTTGAAGGGAGCTGGGCTTTGCCCAGGTGCAAATGAGAGATGAGGATCGTGACAACTGTGGCATTTCCACCAGCTTCAGATATCTGAGTCTCCTGACTTTGGACTCATGCAGACTTAGGGAAATGAGCTGGCCTCTCCTGCATACCATACAGCTTGAGAAAGAAGCACCTGGCCAGGACCTGGGCCTTCAGACTAAGCGTGGCTCTGAGTAGCAGCCACTGCCTGTGCGTATCAAGTCCCAGCTCCACCCAGACCTGACTTTTCTTCATTTTGGCCAAGAACAGTATTTGTGACTTCTAATTACAGAACTTTTGGTTTAGTAAATGTTCACCCTGTACATGCCAGTCACAGGAAAGAATAGAACAAATTTCTAGGTCCCTGGAAGGTTGGAATAGCATCTAAAGTGGATGCTGGCATTTTTGACTTAAAATAGGCTTTAAACGCCTGTGAATGACCTCCTGTCCCCTCACACTCTTCCCCCAACCCCTGTCCTTCTCGAGTCACAGGCTCTCCTGCAGCCTGGAGAGGGAGGGTTGCCCTTCCCTTCCCAGTTGTTGTGTCATTTCATTTACCTGCAAGACTGGAAGCTGGGGGCTTAGGTGATAAGCCCCTGACTGGCTAGGGGTCAGCGTCTTGCTATCTGAGGCTCTCAAGGCAAGTCTTTATTAGAACAGGGTAAGGCCTAGAAGAGGTCACTGGATCAGTGTAAGCCTCCCCGCCAAGCTTTGGGATGTGTGAATTATTAGAAACCATACTAGTGTAAAATTACTGTTATGTCCGTATGATATAAAATCATGACGTTGGAAAAAGGTAGCTGGCTGCTGAACTAATTCCATAAAGTGATCAGCTTCTCTGGGCTCTCAGGATAACAATAACCAGCATAATTGAGTAACCTTACGTGCCAGGCACTAATTTCATTTGATCCTTAGGATAATCTTACAAGTACTTATTTTTTCTCTTATAAATGAAGAGACTGAGGCTTAAGAGGTAAAGGAATTTCCCCTGGGTCCTCTGCCCCACTGCTGTACTGCAACAGCCTCCTCCTCTCCCATTTGGCTGCCTATCCATACCCCTTGCAGGTGAATAACAGATAGCAAAGGCTTCAGGAAAACATAAGACTTTAAAATTGAAAACATCTCATCCATGACCTTAAATATGGGGTTTTTAAAACTTTCACACCCATCAGGACCCCGTGGAAGACTTACTAAAACTAGGTTGTAGAGCCTAACCTCCCAGAGTTTCTAATTTAGTAGGCTTGATGTGGACCCCAAGAATTTACATTTTTAACAAATTCCCAGATGGCTGCTGTTGCTCTGAAGACCACTTTTGAGAACTACTGCCTTAAAATCTTTCCTGTGAATTGGGAAATGAGTGTTTTCATTCACGTGCTACCCAGAAAGATCATTTGAGACCTGTTACGACTCAGTCACTCAAGCACATAGATCCTTTATCAGTATTCAGATGTTTATTCAAAGCTGAGAGCACCCTAGCGCCAACCCATTTTCTGAGGTCTGAAGCCATCAAGGCAAGTCTCTCTCCCTGGGGGAGGCTCAGTAGAGCCTCTGCCTGACCAGCCTCACCACACGGTCCTCAGCAGCCCAGCCCCAGTGCCTTTGCTGGGGATGGGGCCCCTGATGTTGTGCTCAGGACTAAGACTGTTGGAATCATGCTCAAGGTCTGGGGGAATCTTGTGCACAAATCCTATCCGATCCATTTCCTTTCAGTTTGCCCCCAAGACCTTGGTGCAGCTGCATCTGCTGACTTCTTTTTCAGGTCCCTCCTATGGGACCTCAGGACCTGGTTCTTTCATCTTCATCTTCTTTTCATCTTCATCTTCTCCCTCTTCTTTGTTTCTTCTTTGCACACATTTCCTGAGAGTCTGTCACAGGCCTGTTGTCACCCCATGAACATGCTACCCCCCTTCCTGGCAGTCCAGATGCTTCTGAGTCCCTACCCTCGCCCATCACCATTGTCCCTGAGCACCCTCCCCTGGCCAGTGCTGTCCTCATTCACACCCTTGCCACCTGGGGAGGGAGTCGGTGCACTCCCCTCTGCTGTCATCTCTGCTCCTGCTACTTCTCCAAGTCTGCAATCCACCACTCCAAACCGTCTACACGCTGCCGTTCCCACCCCAGGAAACATCACTATCCGGGTCTGGCCTGTGCTGTTCCCAAGAACGATGTTTTCCTCAGTCACACCCATGCCCAAAGGTGGTCATGTGCTCCACCTGTGCTACCTCTGGTTTCTCCTCACACTGCAGCCCACAGTAACTTCAAACAGTGCAAGTTTTGTAGGTTACAAGCTCCTCCTCCTGGAGTGAGTTAGGAGAGGAGGAAGAAATTCAGCCATGGTTCCAGGAAGATCCTCCCTTACTATTGCAAGTTAGGTTTTGTGAATCCACCTTTCAAAGAGCAATTTCAAAAGCCATAAGTAAGTGGTTTTGTTGTAAGGATTACAAATATACATCTACATGATAAATTGGAGATGAGGGAGGTTGGTTTTACATGGCGACTTGTTAACGTGGGATCACTCTTTCCTATGAAGGTGTCAGCCATGTGTTTGAAAAGTGCCCATCACAGACAAATTATGCACAAGAGGAGGAGATGCACTTTGGGAAACCAGCTCTAGGTATAGATACGGTGAGGACACTGATGTCCAAGACATGTATAGGAGAGTGAATAAAGTTGTTACTTGAAATGTGAGAATGAGAAAAAAGCGCTATTTTGTATTAATGTGTTACATATAATGTTATTTTAAATATGCATGTGTGGCTAAATAAATTAGATAATACGACTAGACATCGGACTATTTCTTCAACATCACTAGAAGTTTGAATACTGAGACCTTAATTAAATTTTTTCTCCTTAGGAAAATAGGGATTTTCTTGAAATACAGGATCACCTGTATGTTTAGTGGACTCCCTGTTGTCTGCTGAACAAAGACCAAATTCTGTATTTAGCACTTAATGGCCCTGACTGACCCAGCCTCCCAGATCTTGGAACACTAGACAAGGCCTTAAACTATGTGTATTTCCTGCTCTTTCCTCAGTGGGCTTCAGACTACAGAGCTAGTGCCTTTGCTCAAGCAGTGCTCACGATGTAAAATGTCCTCTTATCCTTGAAGACTGGCT